CTCAAATACGTGATCTAAGATATATATCCGGTTAGAATAATCAGCAAAATTGTTTAAATTAATGATATTTTAATTAAAAAATTAGGTTATAAAAAAAATGATTCATTATTTGAATTATATTTAATACATGAAATCTACAATATTTGCATTATTTATTATAGGAAAAAAAAAATTTATATTTAAAAAGCATTAATGATTTTTGATTCCGGTTACCTGGAATAAATCATTAGTTAACCTATTTCAGTAAATGGATTAAATAGGCTAATATTTGGTATAACGAATTTGAATAACTGTTTAATAATTATACATATAAAAAATTGAATACCGAATTTTGTTGATGCCTTTGAGTATATTTATTCCAGGTGCAACATAATACAAACCACCATAAACGACCGGTTGTTCCGAAATAGTACAAAAGAATAGCTACAACTGTACACGGAATATGTTGAATTCCGGTAATAACAAAAACCAATTTTGAATTATATTTAATACATGAAATCTATAATATTTGCATTATTTATTTATAGGAAAATCAATTCATGTTCAAAAAGCATTAATGATTTGATTCCGGTTTAATACAAACCGGAATCAAATCTTTAGTTCCTTTTAATCAATTTTTCTTCTCTCTCTCTCTCTCTTCTCTCTCTCTCCTTCTCACTCTTTCTAAATTAAATAATAATCTATATGAATTTAAGATAACTTTTTTTTCTTTTTCCATTCTTACTTATCATTTGCCTATGTAAGTAAAATTTATTTTTTAAAATTAGAAAAAAAAAAAACCTGATCTCGATAGAGTAACGAAAAAAGATATACAATAGCGGAAACGGAAAATGATACGGAGCAAAATAGGAGTGATAATTCCGGTAAACCAACTAAACAATGTTTCCGGGTGCAAAATGTTAATAAGCAAACAGATGTTAATGCAGTACAAAGTAATGACATAATAAATAATGCCGTACTAGCTGCTTCACGATCATCCTATAATTAATTGATTTATTTAGTTAACTAATTAATTAATTGATTACAAATAATTGAAATTATTTATTAAAACATTTTGTTTTTTTTTAATATCAACAATAAATTATTTAATGAATGTATAATAAAAATTATTTAACCTTTGTATAGCCATTATTTGAATGACATAATGGGACACATTGTCCAGTTCGATTCATATAAATTGTACTTGGCTGATTTGAACAACGATTTGATGTAATTACATTCTTGGCTATATCTGTTTCTAATTCTTCAACTATTACTGGGCCATCATCCTCAGATGCTGGTCCTTTCATACACATCGCATCATGATTGTTTTCTGAATTAAAATTTATCACTATTTAGGTTATATTTTACATTTCTTATATTATTTGCTTTTTTTTGGTTTATTGTTTATTTATCTATTATTTATCATTTGTTATTTGTCATTTATTACTTATTATTTATTATTTATTATTTGTTATTTATTATTTATTATTTATTATTTGTTATTTATTATTTGTTGTTGTTTATTATCAATTTATATTTTACATTTCTCATATTATTTGTTTTTTAGTTTATTGTTTATTTATCTATTATTTATCATTTGTTATTTATCATTTATTATTTATTATTTATTATTTATTTGTTATTTATTATTTATTATTTATTATTTATCAATTATTATTTATT